TACCACATAAAATGACAGAGGTCACTCAAAGCAACATGCTTACACTTCTTCATGTGTTTCTTACAAGTACTTCGATGCAATCCTCAACAATTACTGGTGTTGGCTATCATTGATGCCCATGGCACCCCATGAAGGAGATCCATCAAAATATTGAGACTTTCTCAGAGACCATGAACATGTCATGATATTATGAGCACCTTCAAAATTTGGCTAATTAATTACTATACATAGAAATTTTTATCAATGTTAACCTAGGAAAACATCCCAATCACATTAGAAGGATTATCCCAGGCATTCTCAAAGAAGCTGAAGCAAAAGCATTGAAGCAAGCAAGCCTTAAATGAACATGACCAAAAAAAATGCATGTCGCCTAAACATTTAACTCATCTTCTTTGAAGGTTTTGCTAACCCTCAAATAAACCAACAGATTAACAATTAAGAACATCTAAAATGACATGATTTTTATTACAGTGCTAATTGTCAATTGCTATATTGGTGGAGTTGTAAGTAACAAATGTATTATTGAAAATGTTAGTATCAAATGTGTATTTGAATAAATGAATCTTGGTTATTCTCAATTGACACTACAGTTGGGCCCCTTTATGATTTTGCTAATCAGGTCAGAAAACTAGAATGATCATGCTACCAATCACCAACGAGAAAGCAACCAACAACACATAGCCATGGCCGACTTAATAATAACCATTCTCTTAATGATCTATAATAATAGTTTTGTCCATTGACTTCTTGACATCATCAAAACAGTTATTTCTTTGTATCATTTGATAAAGGACTATAATTTATTTGGAGACCAGCAACCTACTCTGAGGAGTATCAATCATAATATCATCAAAAAACCTATTCAACCTTGCAACCAAGGATGACCGAAGAGATTTGAACTCACTAGTTGTCATTTTCAATGAAAGTATATTAACGCTCTCTTCTAGCACTGAAGCAACACCTAAGAGAGCTTCCTTAATCATCATTAAAGTATTTAATCCCATAGTAGAAAAAATTATTTCCAAGACAAATTCTTGATATAACACATTATTTGAATCAAACAATGAAGCTAAAGGTCTAATTACAAGATACCAATCAAGAGCCTACTTAAGAAGATATAATTAAAATTTGAATTTTCAATATTTAAATTTTAAATTTTAAACTAAAATTTTCACTTTTCAATTTAAGAAACGTGTATGGGCTAACCACTTAATATATATTAAAAATAAAATAAAATGAACTAATGACGATAGTTGGCACATTCCTTCATTAGTGGCCACCCACCTTTTTCATTTAAAATTTCCCCTTTATTTGAATGACAGCAGCTTGAGAGTTGATGTAACTCCTACAAAAAAATGATATGTAATAAAATTCTTTAACTTGAGAATAAAAATATTTAAGATTTTTTTTTTGCGTTAACAATTGTTGTCTTACTTGAACATTTTAATATGTTGGAATGATTGTTTATTTTCTAAATACTTGCCAACCTTCTCAAAAGCTTTTCTCAATCTTCCTCATGCTTCCCCTTAAACTCCAATCAACATATAAGCCTAGATATCCACATCTTAAACCTTCAAACAAACTCCAAACCCTTCCATATAGCTCCTAGTCAAGCCTAGACCTCACTACTGCAATGCCTTAAACTTCACCTAACTCAACCAACTATTTCAAATCTTAAATCCACATCATAAAATATTCCCCTATCATTTTCACTTATTTAGACTACTTAATACTCATTATAAAAAATCTTTCAAATCAACCCAAATTAGCCTAACCTGAATTAGTTCAGTCTTCTTTCCACCATACCACTCCTAAGGCCTCACCTTCCTAACATCTACTCTAAATCACAAGTTACAATCATGAGCTTTCTATCTCCATAAATTTTGATATATTTAAAACATAGAAAATCTATTTTCTAAAATGATCTTTTAAAATAACCCAAATTAGCTTAAGCAAGTCTAGTCTTTTATTCCTCCCATTAAACCTTCTAAAACCCTCAACTTTTACCACAAAGCTCTAGATCATATCTTAAGATATTAAACTAAAAAATGCATGATCATTTCCATCCCTAATTCCAACAAAAAGCATCCCACCATCATTACTTCTCCAATCACTTCCACCTGAATGAAGAAAACTTGGATTCCTCCTTTTGCTTCATCCATCAATTCAAAATTAAGCTTTTGCAATGAAGAATCTTCAGAAGATGCAGAAATCCATACAGACATCACCATATTGTGTGCCATTAAACATCTAAACCTTTTAAGCTATCAAATTTTCGATAATTAGAGAAAGCAAATCGTAAGCAAATAAATCAACACCAAAGAAAAAAATAACAACAACAACAAGCCTTTATCCCGCTAAGTGGGGTCAACATCAAAGACCAATTTTAAAAAAAAAATGATTAAATCTTTCGACATGAAATTCAAGCCTCATATTTATAGCATTCGATGGTAGTGTGTCTTCCACTTGTCAAAAATTTGAGCACTTTGCATATCCAACCAACCAAATCACATAGGTCAAACTGAGATATCAATATCTAGTTCTGCTCTGATTTATAAAAGACACAAATATTTAGGAACTAACGAACCCCAACTTCATATAAATGAGTAGGTTGACAAAATCATTATGAAAACCTAAACCCAATTCAAAAAGTCATTGATCTTCAACCCGTCCAAGTCACCAATGACTCAAAACTCACCAAGCATTTAGTAGCCTAAAATCATTTCTCATCATTCACCCAAGAGACAACCTGATTGCAACGTTGACTAAGGGGTTATGGCTAGAAGAGCTCATCAAGGGTATTCAACTCAGCTAGAAGCTAAGCCAAGAATTATCACCTATTTTATAATCAATAACCTGCTACATAGTTAGCTACATTGAATCCAATGATATATTATTCATAGCTTCTCATAGTGCTCTTTTTTTACTGCACATCTTTTCCCCTGCCTATAAATAAGTAAAAAAAGTTCATGGTATGAACATAATATAATCCTATACACATTAGCCAAAATGCACTCCTGCTAAAATGAGGTTCTCTCACTCTATCTTTCTACCTATCCATATGATTATCTCTTTTAGTTGTCTCCCACCTTGATTAAAGCTCACTCATTCTCTTATGAACCCAAAATCACTAAATAGAATTTCTGAACTTAAGCCTAAGTTCAATTTGCAACTATAAGTCTTGGAATTCCTCACTAACAATATTAAAACAAATGAAGATAATGTTCAAGGCTCGATGAAATAATCCAAAAGAAGTGTTAGAAATCTCTCTAGCTTTATCATAGAAAAGCTAAAGGATACTGAAAGGTACTCCCCTCATTTTGAAGATTTTTGGATAAAACAAAAGTATATATTAAAGTAGAACACCTTGTGGCTCCCCATCACATAAGCAAGCATGCTCCTTGACAATAACCGAGCTATCGTTTTTGCAAACTCTTTATCGAATAAAATTTTGAGCAATTCCTAAACATTTCCACAAAAAGGGATATTGCATGACAGACATGAAAATTTATGATGCCCTGAAACCTCTTTAATAGAACATATAACTATTTTTAATCAAAATAAATTTTGGGATATTGTTGATTTTTCAAGAAAATAACATGTTTGATATGGACAGTAGTCAAGCTAATTCTGCCTCTGCCAAAAAGCACTAATTATCCAGTGAATTCATATAACAAAAAAAATATCAAACCAAGGGAAGTGTGATTTAGTTCTAAGTCAAAGTAGCAAAGTTAAACCTGGATTGTTTGGGTAAACTACGTTTTGGAAGCTTATGCGTTTTGAAAATGCTGAAAGCAGCGTTTTCACACCGCGCCTAAATGTGGTGACAACTTTCGGACAGCGGTAGCGGTCTGGTTTTTTCAAAAAAATAAAAATTTCTAATAGTCACTGCACCTAGCTTATTAGCAGATTATTTTTAATTAATTTATCAACAGATTATTCAATAAGTTGCAGCTGCCCCAAACAGACCCTAAATTCATGCTCATTACATCAAAAATGTGTAAGCACAAACCTTCTGAAAATCTAACGGATTGAGAGACAAAAAAGTACAACTAGGAGGGCCCACATACGGAAGACAAAGAGTCTTATCACCAAAAGATCAAAGGACTTAACTGACCAAGTGCAAATCCCTTAGATTGAGATCAAAAGCTTATCGGACGTAAGCTATTCAAGCTAAAGACCAAGATCTATCAAGCCGACAGAAGGCAGCATCCCAACTCTCGCCCAAGCATCGCCAACCTCCTCATAAGAGTCCCATAGACTCTTCATCAGGAGGCCAATAGCTTTATCAAGATATGCTCCACAAACACCCCAAAGAACCTTTTATCAAGGGGTGAGCTACCTATCGAATAACGGTGATTCACCATTTACTCGACAATCTAGTTTCATCCTGGTGACAGAAGCTCCTCATCTAGAGGCCGATAGTCGACAATCAAACCAAGGCAACCCGACTAATAGACTTAAGCTGACTAAGCCACGTCCGGATGACCAAAGGTCAATAAGAGCCCTTACAACCCCACTTAGCATAGTCAGGCGAACGAGCATTCTCGAACCAAGGCCCACTAATCTCAGTTGAGCAAGCAATAGGGTAATCTAGTCATAGGCTCATTTATGCAAATATTTGAAATAATATGTAACGCCCCCATTAAATTAGGGGCAAACATGTAATTATACACTTTGCCCACCCTCCTTTATAAATAGGGGATCATTTCTTCAATAAGGGCTAATCGAAAATTCATTATACTTTTCATTTCTTTTGCACTCTCCTCTCTCTCTCTCTCATATTTTACGCTATATTACTTGGGTGTGACTCCCGGATAGATTCAGATTCAACAGAAGCATTTCAGTAACCAAAGAGCAAAGCAAATCCTTGGCTTCAATTTCCTTAGGAAGATATTCAGATTGGGGAAAAAATAATATAACTACTGAGGAAGAAGAATAAATTTTCAATTTAATTGTTTTCACAAACCAACATTATGTGAAAATTATAAAAGCAGGACCTGAGGGAGATCCTGAGCAGAATCAAGAGCAGTCTGAAGCTGCATAACATCAGCCCTGGAAAGGGATTTTGAGATAGGGACATCCTGAACAACGGCAGACTTCACTCCTTTGGTCTCAAACGTCAAGAATGGCGCCGGGTTAAGGGATCCAACAGGGAGCTTCTTGACAAGCTTGATCTGAATAGCAACAGTATCATCTTGGGACTGGAGTTGGATGGTCTGCGCACTGCGAAGCGCTCGATGGAGAAGGGCGACGTCAATGGCGAAAGCGATGCGGTCATCGTTCTGGCTGGAGATACGGTAGTCGTGGAAAAGTACCTCTTTTTTGAATTGAGCTACAGACTGGACGCCATCGCCGCCAAGGAGATTGTGGAGAAAGATGGCGTGGTCGCGGGTTAGGTAGAGGTGGCATACACGCCCGATTTTATCGAGGGAAGGCAGGAAACCTGTGAAAGCAGTGCAGGTTAGGTGTTTGTATAAGTGCGCAAGCGGAAAAGAGATAGCAAGGTTGTTAGGAGGTTACGCTTGTCCAGTAAATTGACGCCGTCTTGAGTGAGGAAAGCTTTGAACTTCATCTCATTTGATAGTTATTTAGAGATACAGTGTTTGTGCGATGGAGGAAGAAGCCTAGTTTTCCTCCCGTTTTTCCCGCCAGGTAGAAATAAATAGCGTTTTCTTTTCATCTTTTTTGTTACATGCAGAACTCCAAATATCTGACATTTATTGTGAAAGCAACTTATTTTCTGTGGTGTTTACCTTTTATAAATGTGATAATCACATGAGATGTTTTTACTCATGTCCAAGAAATCCAACATAACATAATTGTAACTAGTTTAGAAGGATATATGAAATAGATGATGGATTAGATAATCAAAAGTATGTTGAAGAGCGTAGATGGACAAGAGAAATTTTGATGGTTTGAAGTTCCTATTTAAAATATCAATTGTGTTACATTTTATTACCATTGTCATGTTGTTCTTAGTATTTGTGTAACTTTGTTTTGATGATTGTAATGTATTATGAAATATGAACGATGTAATTCAAAGTTTATCAGTAATGTATGACATTCTTTTTAGTTTGTTAATATACTTATGGGTATAGTTGTGGTATTTGTAAAATGTAATTCAAAATTTTACTCTTTTAATGTGGTATATCTTTTATTCATAAACAACTATGGGTTGGTACTCACTTGAATCTAGAGCATGTGAGGTGATTTTGTTGCTTCAAAAGTTTTGTGCTTTGCCATGCTGAAAGGTTATGATAATATATTACAAATGAAAACTCAAAATTCATTTATTGTGTATATCAATTTTCATTTATTTTTCAAATTGATTAACTTGAAAAACTTTAATTTCAAAAGTTACAGATGCAGTTTTTGTAGAATCTTATTCTTTCATTTATTATTTTTTTTCTTTGTTGGATTTCATTTTCATTATCAATAATTCCTCGAGTACTTTAAGTGATATATTAATGTCAAGTTATGTCCAAAATCCTTGAAATGACTTGTTTTTTTCAAAGGAACAGGAGTAATTATCCCAAATAATTTTATTAACTGAATATTCACATACATACATAAGTGAAATATACAGTGAACCCATTTCTTTACAAAAATCCCTAGCATATGTCAAACATGATAAAATGATTATAGAAGCTAGAAGAAGTTTTCAATTGCACGCGCGTGCGCGCATATACACACACACACATACAGAGTATTTCACACAATGTAAACTATAGCTTAAATAAACTAAGGTAAAACCATATATGGTGGAGGCAAGGGAGGTGGGGTCCTTTCAGACATATCAAAACCAGCTCCAGTCCATTCAGACTCAGAAGCTGCTCTGATCTTCGGAATGATGTTTTCTTTAGCCTTGCAAGATTTTGTGTTGACTTCTTTTCTCTCACTTCATCTTAATGTTTTTCATCTTCTTGTTTTCAATTCTTGTCATCTGATGTTAAACATGTGTTTTTACTGGCATATATGACCAATTGTGAGGTGTCTAACCAACTAGATATGCAGCATGTTGTGTGTCCTTTTGAGGATTATCGAGAGATGGTTGAGCTGGTTTGTCACCTTAAAGCTAAAAAGTAAAAAAAGAATTCTTGAAATCATTATGTTTAACAAATCTAACGGACATAAATTTGATAATATTCAATAAAAGGGGGTTGCAGTTGTTGTGCAGTAGTGAAAACTTGATTTAAAAGCTTCAGCTTTTGCACTTTCCTATAGATGTGAAATGAATTACCAAGTACAGAACCTTTATAAGGCATTTTATACCTAAAAATGAAGCAAAGAAATTAATATTAATCATAAACATAAGTGTGTCATAGAGGGTGTTCTTTGGAACCAATGAATGTTGTTACATGAATGCATGGTAACCCTCTAAGTTACTACACTCTATAAGTACATTCTCTTGTATTTATATTCACTTCATGTCTTTTATGATGCCATTCAATCTTAGCCTTGTAAAATTTGGATGGCCTAACAATAAATTATTCTTTTCTGGTAGATATTTTTCTTAAAGCGTCCTCATGATATGGAACAAACTCACCCTTCCATGTGCATGCCTTTACCTTTGTCTCCACCATTACTCCCATAAGCTTTGCACGAATCAAGTTAATTAAATCAACCACTGATTAGCTCCTAGCTCCACCCACCCAAGAATAAAATGACTAAGCCAAATTATTTGTATTATGATGATTTTTAATCTCAGTTGAGAAATCACTTCTAGCTTACTTTTTAATTAAACCGTGTAAATTTGCATACATTTTAGGGAAGATATAGCTTAACTCATTCATTTTATAATCGAACCCATGCTTAGTGAAACAATTAGTTGCATATTAAATTGAGGTCGTGATGTGTACAAAATCATGCTTAATTTTATCTATATTTTACATATGTTTACAGATGAAATTACGTTTTAAAGAAAAGTATTTTTTATATTTTTTCTTACAAATACAACAGGTAGTGGAAGTGGAATGAAGTGGAGAAGAAATGGAGTGAAGAAGAGCTGAAATGGAGCATTTGGAACTCAAGGAACTGGCGCCTAGGAACCAACCATTGGGCACCAAGGTGCTCCTACAAATTGCCTTAATGCCATTTACCTGAGAGCCTAAGCTCCAATGTTTACCCGACCAGATAGAGAGGCTACCGCCTAGACACCAGCAACTGCTGGGTAGCTTTCTGCAGCTGAGTACATCGAACATTTGAGAAGTCTTAGAAGAGTCTTAAGTCAGAGTCTTGTAGTAGGAGAAGATTGTTTGCATTTTATTGAGAGTTTAGTGATGAAATTGAGGGATATTTGTAAAGAAGGATATTCAACAAAGCAGCAAGGATTGGGAGATCCTTTAGGGATGATTTTCCAACACTCTATAAAGGGGAAAAGCTAAGTATTGTATACACTTTTGTATTGTAATTTTCTGTAAGCACAATTCTAGTGGATTTGGTTTATTTCAAAGATGTTTTGTGGTAGTTTTTCCATGCTTTGTGAATAGTTTTTTTTTTCACCTTTTCCCTTGTGATGAATATGTGAGTTGTGCAGGGATATTAGAACACTTTTAAAATTGGGTCTCAATCTTTAGTGTGATGATTTTTCTTCTGCATTTTCTTTAGTTATCATGTTGGTCAATTGATTTGTTAAAATCTGTTGTGAACACATAATGACTTGGGAGAACTATGACATGAACAATTAGGAAGATCACATTAAACAATAAGTTATGAAGTAAAAGTAAACTGTAGGGAGATGCAAATAGATATGGAAATACTCTCTGATAGGTTCAAATTGAGGTTTAAGAACTTACAACTAGTTTAACCAAACTTCTTTATGCACTCTGAAGAGGGTAAATAAGAAAATTGCTCCTATCTGTCACTAGTCATAGTTACAATTTAATATATTCATTTTCCTACACAACACATATATCATTGCAAGGGAGGGTCGCTTTCATATCTTGATATTTCCCAAATTCTAATATATTTAGTATGATTTCTATAGGAGTAAACGTTCAATAGTAGGTTGCTAGAATTTAGTAAGACTAGTTAGAATAACCTAAACCAAACATTACTTCCAAGCTAAGATCAATTATAGTAGGCTAGAACTTCTCTTAAGTTAATTAAGTCACTCCCAGTGGGATCGATATTCCAAACTAAAAAAAATCAGATATTACTTGAACAATAAGTATACTTGTATAAGGACCCCTGCACTTAGAATTAGGAAGTACTAAAGAGTTAGGCATCACCGCAGTTAGGTCGTGATCAAGTTTTTGGTGTTGTTGTCAGGGAGCAATTAAACTTTTACTTTGAAATTTGTATTGTATTTTTTTGTGTGTAATTGTTTGTTTCTTTGAAAAAGAGAAAATTATCAAAAAAAAAATATTTTGGTTTGGTTATTATGTGAAAACTAATCAGTTGAACCTTTAGTTGATGAATGTGTAGTGCAAGACCTATAGGACTTGAACCTTATGATTTAGTACTAGAGAACTATTTGAACAATTTAAAAACAGATAAAACTTCACAAACATGTAAAAGAAATGGTGAACAATCAACAATTTAATGAAAATACACAAGAATTGATTAATGATCATCATAATGCACGTAGACCATTAAGGGATTATGCTAATGCTATGACAATTGAAATTCATTTAAGTATTCAAACTCCTGCCATAGAAGCTAATACATTTTAACTTAATCCTGCTATTATCCAAATAATGCATAATAACCACTTTGGGAGAAACTCGTATGAGGATCCAAATTTACGTCTAACAAGTTTCTTTGAATTTTACGCTATATTTTACTATAATGACGTGTCAAATGACATTTTTAGGCTTAGGATTTTTCTTTTTCCTTAAGTGATAAAGCCAAAATATGGTTAAACTCATTAGCTCTGGATCAATTAGGACATGGGGTGACTTAGCCCTAAAATTCCTTGCTAAGTAATTTTCGCCTTTAAAAACTGCTAAACTTAGGAATGATATTACTTCGTTTTGTCAATTAGAAGATGAGTTAATATAAGAGGCTTGGGAACGATTCAAGGAATTTCTTCGGAAGTGCCCAAATCATGCTCTGCCTGATTGACTAATTATTCAGACTTCTTGCAATGGTTTAGTAGGGTCCCTAAGATCTATTATAGATGCAGCCACTGGTGGTTTGCTCATGTCCAAGCCATTTGATGAGGCTTATTCAATGATTGAAGAGATGTCCACTAACAATTTTCAATGGCACTATGAAGTGTAAACCCTAGGAAGGTAGCTAATGTACATGACACCGATGTGCTCTTCAGCTATATCATCAGCCTGATCAACCGAAAATTCATCTTCTATGGATGAATTTGTTGATTTTTCTTCCATGGTTGTTAAAAATCTTTCTTTCTATTTAGAAAGATAATTCTCTAGGTCCTTATTACTTGGTCTTATATATAGGTGAAGTTTAGGTGGAGTTTGAATGTTAGGATGCCTAATTATGGGAAGAGTAGATTTTCCCTTTCTAAGGTTATTCCTTTGTAAGGAACAGGTCTTTAAGGCTCCTGAGTTTTTTTTCAAAAGCTGATCTAATTTATTTTTAATTTGAAGTATATTCATTAATCGTATGTAGAGGACTGTCAGTAAAATTTAATTGTTATACTACAACAATAAATTCTTTAGCTGTTTGTGCATTTGTATTGCTTTTTGTAAAAACTGTAAGCTTAAAATTTTTCAGATTTATCCTTGCTAAT